TTTCGTATTTGGTGTAGGAAAATGGTGCCCAATTAGCCAGTAGTCGGATCATCAAGACCAGCCGATGGATCAGGTGGAGCGTCGGACCGTGACAGATGAGCGGGTACAAATGGACGTGAGAGGGATGGCGGGTAAAGGGGAAAAGCAGTAAGTCACTGTTACGATACTAGAAGACAGAGATGGGAAGGCGACGGAATGTTTTGACAAACCTGCACGCCCAGTTTAGCGGCCAACTGCTTGAGCTCTTCCACTCTGGTCAGGTCTTCTTGATGTCTTGCACTCCCCAAAAGTACCAGTGAGACACCTTCTTTCTCTGTTTTCCGCTTCACGGGTTCACTAGAAGAGCCAACGTCGAGCCACCCACTTTGTCCGAGACCCTCTTCTGGGGACTCGGGGAGTAGATTCGAGATTCGAGATGAAGGGCTGAGTCTTTCATCAGCACCAATTAATTCTGGATGTGTTTTGAAAAGGATGCTAAGTGCCTCAATTTGTTTTGCATGATCCTTCTCTGGACTAAAGATAATTGATCAGAGTCGACGAGATAAATGGAAAAGGCCGAGCAGAAGATATCATCACGTCGCAGGCCACGATGATACTTCCGGGCTTTCGTTCAATGGGATACTTACCGAAACTGTGCACAGCTGAAGATGACTCTGTTCCTTTCTTGCAACTTGAAGTCTTGCATAGATTCGACATCACAGGGAGGATATATTCTTCTTACATGAGCGATAGATGGTGTAGATCCCTCTTCCATGGACTGTGTGGATGGAGGCTCGTTGATCCGCTTGGGCTTCGGTGTGTTTAACCCGAGCAGTATAGTTGCCAACGAAAAGGGAGAACTCAAAAGATAGAGGATCGAATGCAAACCCGTTGGAGCAGAGGTCAATAAGGCGGGTTGTGTCTCGAGCAATGCCTCGACGTGTGCTTCAGTCCAGGACGAGTTCACCGCAAGATGGACAGGCGGGGACGTAAGCAAGCACGAAGTATACAAGAAGGAGAAGAGGCGATAATATCTGGAATGGGGTTAGAAGACTGATCAAGGTTGGGGGTCAGCGTGAACCACTTACACGAGCTTCGCTGAGCTTCTCCATCCGCTACCCGTGACCGTTGCGTCATTTGCGTATGTGGTCTCCCTTGAAGCAACTCGCTGCAGCATGGAGGCTGATATTGTCGGGTAGTGTATATAGGCCACAATTGGAGTTTGGTTTGTTCCAATTTTTCGGGAGAACCCAGAGGTCAAGAGGCGCACAACGGGATAAGAAAACGCCAGGCCCAAAGTATCTGAAAGGAAATATTTGCAGCATCAGTAGAGGTATGCTAATATATGTAGTATGTACCAACCAATGAAGATATCAGGAATAAGCCTCCACATCGCCTCGCCTCCCAACAATGCTGCTCCTATCCCTTGGCCCAGTAAAGTGAACCGCTTCCAAGTACTATCCTCGATCAACCACCTC